ATTAAATTGGGTCCAGTGTTTTATAAAAACATATTGCTGCAGAATCCTCAGATCCTAATCCAGAATGATTCCACTCTGGATATCCCTCTATCCACCAAAATGTGTGATTAATCCATCCAATATGTTAACATATTTTCAAAGTTACGATAGCTTCCAGGTCCCTTTATCTATCACTAGTGATATCACTAGTTCTTAGACTGACATCAATATCAGAAGAATTAGTAACATCAAATGTGCATTCTTAATAAAATGTCCCTACCTTTAAATAACATTAAGAAACTGATCAACATCAACCTTTTCCTCATCCTTTTTAGAATCCTTTTCCTACTTCCTATTCTGGCATATCCCCATTATTGAGAATTTCAGAACAACCTATGCCTTTGGACATAGAGAAATAAGCAAGCTTCACCTAAAATGTACAAAAAATGCTAGTTAGGTGTATTGTGCACACTTTTTAACCAAATTTCACAAACCAGCAGAACGAACGTGCACATAAATGTGGATATCCTTTCACATGGGTCCTCTTGTTTGCAACCCTTGGGCCTGTGGTTGAATATGATGCATCCATGTACTTTGCTTCAGATTACTGAAGTCCATAAAGACAGATTTCAACAGCTTTGCTTTAGAGACATGGAGCAATCCATATGCATGTGCTTCTGTATTTATGTGGGAGACACAAGCCTATAAATCTTTCTTCATAAATGACAAATTATGTCCTCTCCACATGTTCCACTCTCTGCCTCTCCTGCAACTCATACTCCATTTCCCAAATCTAATCCTCCAAATGTTGTCCTTTCACCTTCTTTTAAATGCAGCTGATAAAGTGAAGTGGCATTAAACCAGACCAAAAGATTTTTTTTCCTGGTAAACATTCAATTGAACCCACTGCCTGGTTTGTCTTTAAGGAAGAATATTCACAGCCTAATAATGTTTCTTTAGCACAAAAGGAGTATCATGTGCTAGATGAATCAAAATGTACCCGAACTCATCTTTTTAAAGCTTCCATTTAGCCAAAAATATATTTCTGCATGCATTATCCACAGGCAGATATTTCATGTCATGGTGAGCCCTCTCCACAGAAGCATGAAGGAGAACTGAGTAAGATCCCATATGTTTCTCTGGCAGAAAAAAGTAGCAAGGAAGAAGAATCATATTCAATCAGCGATAGTAGGACTGCAATTAAAATATTTTTATAGGGATTTTACAAGGTGGTTAAAAATTTGGCCTGAGAAACAAGGTTTTCCTCAGAAAAGCCTTTGAGATTTCTGATGTAAACTAGCATCCCCCTTGTGGCTCTTTCAGTGTTATTTGAAGTTGCTTTTGATTCTATGCATCAGGAACACAGCCTTTCTACATCTAGACATCTGCAAGAAACATTTCAGCACTTCACTTGTACTAAGATAAAAATCATTGTGTTTCAAAGATTTGCCATTTTGAGGTCAAAATGTACTCTGCAAATTAGGGTTTCTAGGTGAAGACCCTATTGAGTCAAAAATGACCATGGTACTTGTGTCACCAATGAGTTATTTTAGTAAAGGCTGATTGGTAAAAGTGGGGGAAAAAATCTAAATGAGTATTGCATGCTTTCTCCAATTAATTTTTAGGAAGATGCTATTTCACCTCTGAAATTTTTCCAATTTTTTTTTCTAAGTAACACAACTCTTTAAAAAATCAAAACTATAACTCTTCAAAACATAAAGGTAGTTCTTGGCAAACAAAAATTACTACTAAGATTTTTATTAAAATATGTGGAAAAGTATCTTAAAGGAAAAAATGGAAGATGTAATCATCCATCATATTTTCAGTAATTTTAAGGAGTATTTAAAAATTGTGACCAGCTATAGATCTAACTAAACATATTGAAATTATATGTTAAAAATGCCTCTGAACTTGTAATACAAAAATTTACATATTTTACTTTCCCTTCTCCCAAAGACATACTTGTGTTGCATTTTAAGGTATTTTTGTCTTCATAAGCAACTTTTTCCTTTTCTAACAAATACCAGACTAGACATTGCCGCAATGAGCCAATTGGAGTGTAAGCCTATGAGGAACAATGAAAATAGAATTAAAGAATTTAACAAAATTACTTATTTCCCTTCCTTATGCTGTTGCAGTGGCTTCTTAAATTGAGCTTTTAGACACTGGTCTCAAATCTATTTGCAGAGTAAGCAGGTCCCTTAATGTGTACTGTAATGTCATTCCATTGCTCCAAGACCTTCAAGAGGATACCTCCTAATTTTCCTGGAAAACTATCTCCTAAACGTATGTCCCAGAGACTGAGCTGGTTCATGTAGAGCAGCTGAAGCTAGAGATACTGGTGGGTTATCTGTGATGGACCCAAGAGTCACAATGGGCATACATTGACAGCTTTACTAAAAAATGTATGGCGAGTCATTCTTGAAATAAAGACTGCTGTGGATTAGGAAAAGAGTGTGTATAGTTATATTCATGGCAGGCATAAACATTCACTGTCACTCTGTGGATACCAGAATGTCATCAGCTATACTTTTCAGTTCTAGAATTGATCTTAGGTTTTTATTGCAAAATGTTTTAATACTTATTAGCCTACTCTGAAATGTTTTCAATGTTTACTTAAAATTTCCAGTCATTCTTGAAAACTCCTTTTGGTAATATACACAAAGGGTAGATAATGATGGTTGTCAAAGTAATACATAATGATTACTCCAAGAAACATTTTCTAGCATCCACCTACCTGCAGTCAAAATGAATACAAGCCAGATCCCAATATTTTGACCCAAAAGGTAAAAATGATTTATAAACAATTATATAGAAAAACTTACTCTTATTCTGTGTTTACGAAAAATGTATATGTATTTTGGTGTTGGGATTTTTTTCAGATATATTTCTGTGCTGTGATCGAGCTGAAATTCATGGGTGCCCTTTCACTGACTTCAACTACAGCTAGGTCATGCCAGTTTTAAAAGACAAATCTTTTACATGGTTGTTTTATGAGATGACTTTTACAATAATAACTTCCTGTATAGATAAATCTTCCTTAAGTGTAAATTTGAAGATGCAGCACACAAAATTTTCCATAGCAGAAATTTTCCATTCTCTTTTATCTTCATTACTATTCCCTATTACAAGGGAGGAATGGTTTACAGCCTACTTGCAATGTTTACTTTAGCTTAATCTAAATAGTTGACCCCATTAAATCAATTTCAACTCCTGCCCTTTGCTTTTACTTCAAATTCAAATGCTAGGTTAGCAATGAGCAACCTCCCCCCCCCCCGAAAAATCTATTTAAAAACAGAAAATAAGTAAGTTAGACCAGAAATATCCTCTACCTAAAGCAGCACAGATTTACTTGTTTAGTAAACTACATAATACTGCAGATTGAAAAATAGAGCATGACAGCTTTTGTTAACTCATACTAATTATATGCTATCATACCTAACACCTTAGTCAGATCTTAGGCATCTGAAAGCTACTGATTGACAAGTCTCATTTGAAACTCTAAAAAACTTTTAAAATAAAGAATCATAGTTAGTAGGTTGCAGAATATGCTCTTAGTCACTATCAGTCATGTTCTCTACTCCCAGTGGGAGAATACAGTTCATTGTTAGTTATTTGAAGTGTGATGCTCTACAAAAGCCCTGAGACAAAGTCTCTTATGCTAAATAATGTCTCAACAGCAAGAAACATTTAGGGTTTAGGCTCCTAGGCTCTTACAGGGTCCCACATGGTAGTTAATGTTTATAGGCCCACATAGAGGGTAAGGATTGGCTTTCAAGCAGAAATTCTCTTTCCAAGTGGAGGAGAAAGTACTTGTGGATGGTCCTCATGATTTCAATGATCAGCCACATCCCAACTAGCATTTGTGATAATTTTTATCTACTCAGATACAGAGAGTTTAGTTGGATATATTTAACGAGGTTCTTCTCTTTGTGATTTGTAATTTATAGGCTCAGTGCCCAAAGCAATCAACTGCCAGTCATAATTACATTTCACATATAAAACACCTATATTTAAGGGACATTATCAAAGCTATAAGGTCCAGAGCTAAATACCTAGGCAATGCCCAAATGAAGGTTGCCTCTTCAACATTAATTGTCTCCTTATGGATTATAGTGGGGCTTCTAATTGCATGATGACAGCAATTTTTTACTATCCTACCATTTGCTTCATCAGTGCATGGAGTGAGCAGTGCTCACTTAATGAGCCAGTATTAAATATTTTGCTTTCTCCTCCTTGAATGCATGGCCCCAAGCCATTTAAATCCTGCTCAGAATATACTTTCCTCATGGGTTTTTCATTGGTGCTTCACTAAAGTATATGAATACTTTACAATATTAATGGAATTATATGTTCACAAAATCCCTACTGAATGAAAATTATGTTTCTCCCTGCTCCACAACTAAGAAATTAAGACATAAAGTGATCAAGAGTAAAAAAAAAGTAGCTGTTAATTTTAAACGCTCAAGACGAGACAACAAGAAACTGAGTTTTGGAATAGTTTGCATCTTGTCAAGAATAATGATCATATCATGTGTTCCACTGATATCTGGAAATATCAGCTTCCATTGATATCTGCAGATTAACTGACCACTTAAATACTTCCACTCTTCAGGTATCACAGCCTCAAAAACTGCATTCAGGAAAAGAGAGACTGCAGCTATTGAGCTATTGAAAAGTTGGGAAAAGGATTGTTTTAGTGGTGTAACTAGGAACTTAGAACAAGCAATCTGTGGCAACAACAGATCTGTAATCTGTGTCTTTGGGACACAAAAGAAAGCAATCTTTTCTTGGTATCATTCTGTCCAGCCCTTAAATTCTGTATCATGTAGAATATAAGGCAAGGACCTTAAAGCAAACAGCCTGTTCTACTACCTGCTACAGATCATCTCTTCTATTGAGTGATTTTCTTTCTCTTTTCTTTTCTAGTCTTTTCTATTATTATTATTCTTTTTCCACCTCCTTCTTCCCCTTTCTATTTCTCTCTGCTATTCTCATCTTCATTTGTTTCTTCTTACCAGCTCGTCGGGCAACTCTTCTCACAGTGCCCACTCTGGTGACAGCAACTTCTGAGGATGACATAGACCGGAGACCCATCAGAAGGCTCCGGTCTAAGAGTGACACCCCTTACTTGGAAGAAGCTCGGATCTGCTTCAACCTTGATAATGGTAAGACCACACCTTCCCTAAACAGCATATGATGTTAATTAAAGTCTTCTTTTTGAGATGCAGATGGACCAGATGGTACCTCCTCGTTCACAAGCGATGTGGTGGTTCACCAGACATCCAAAGATGCCAAGGCTGTCTAACTACAAGCACCTGCATATGTATGAACAGGAATCATTTTCAAAATTCTCCTGCAAGTGCTAACTAAAATTTTTTTTCTGTTTTAGCCAGGGTGAGCTAGTGAGATCGCACCAAAATAGAATTGATTTGCAAACAAAATATATCTTAACCATTCCAGGCATAGAAACATGAAAGTTCTTGAGAACATTTATGGAGGGATTACAGCTAACAGCAGACTTGAGCTAAACCCAATGTTACAGTCAATGCAGCACAACCCAAAACCTCAATAGGACTAATTGGCAAACATGGAACAGAAAATTCTTGACTCTGCAGGAATGAATAAGAGAGCTGTCCTTCAAAATTCAGACTAACTGGTGTTATTATCACTGCCTTCAGAATTTGTGAGATCCAACATTCCTTCCTTGGTCTTTCTTTCTCATTGAAGCTGACCAATACAAAAGATATTGGAAGTACTGACAGTTTAGTGACTTCAAGCAGAGTGGGTTTTGGCATTTTTTCTAAAAAGCCCTGAATTAAATGACATGAGCTAGTACACTCTTATGCACATATTTTAACTGTCTAGCGTATACTTTACTTTTAGTATTACTTTTGTGCCACCCACTTTTTTTTTAATAGCATTTTAAAATAATTTATATTACACTAACCAACCGAAATTGGAGCCCTAATGTGGCAGGCAGCCTATAAACCACAGGGTAAGAACGTCTACATAAAGAGCTGATTACTAATCAGAGAAACAGAGATTCCACAAAACACCAAGCCCAGTTTGCAGCGGAAGAAGGGAGTCCCTGGTTTTTGCAGAGGGTCACATTTTTCTCAAAGACCTGCCGAAGCCCTTAGGAAGGCGAGCCCCGGGCTTTGAGGCTGGTCAGTTTCAAACGTTGAGTGCAGGCTCCTCAGTCCCCCTGGCATTTAAACTGCCAAGGTGTGGCACGCCATCCCGCTTTACGCCATGGGTTTGCCCAAGGAGCGAGGGTAAGGAGGTGAAGGCATGCACCGTTAGACATCCCAAGTCCCAATGAAGCGGTGCTGTGAGTTCCGGAGGCCCTGGGCCAGAAGTGAGCATTCGGGGCTCCGAGCTTGCTGCGGGGTGGCACCTCTGCCGGCCAGGCCCATCGGCGGCGTTCGGCACCTCAGCCGGGACCTCCCCTGGGGGCGGGAAAGGCGCTCGGCCGGACCGTGCCCGGGGCGGGGGCCGGCAGCGCCGGGGCCGGGAACAGCGCTCCGTGCCCCGCAGCGGAGGCGGGCGGGACTCGGCAGGGGCAGCGGGCAGGGCCGCCGCGGCCGCTCCCGTCCGCAGATCCTTGACGGGTTTTCCCTGTGTCTCCCCCTCCCTCCCTGCGCTCCTTTCTCCCTTTCCCTCTCTCCTTCCCCGTCCTCCCCTCCCCCTCCCGCGCCTCTCTCCCTCCTCCCTTCCCCTGTCTCCCCCGCCGCCCCCTCCTCGCCGGCCGCCCCGCGCCGCCGCTCGCCCTCGCCAGCTCGCCGGGCCACGCTGCTCACCGTGCCCACATTAATGGCGGCATCTTCCGAGGAGGACATCGACCGCAGACCCATCCGCCGCGTCCGCTCCAAGAGCGACACCCCCTACCTCGCCGAGGCCCGCATCTCCTTAAACCTCGACACAGGTGAGAGGCGGCCCGGCCCGGCGCGACCGGCGGCGGGGGAAGCAGGGGGGGAAAGGGCCGCCCCCGCCCTCCGCCCCTGCCCGCGGGCTCCCCGGGCGCCGCCGCCCGGCCCTGCCCCGCTGCCCGCGCCTTCGCACCTCGCCGGCCTCCCCTGGCCCTGGCCCGCACACCGGCTCCCCCTGCCCCGCGCCTCCCTCCTGGGTGAGCCGGGACTGGCTGCCCTGCTCCTTTCAGCCCCTCGAAGCTTCCCCTGTCCCAGAGCGCCGCCCTGTCGCCCTGCACAGCGTGGTGGCGCATCCCCTCAAGGCTTCGGCACTGTCCCTCCTCGCCAGGTGCTGGCATCCCTCCTGGACATGCTGCCCTTGGTGTTTTGCAAGTCTCTCCCTGGCTTGCTCTTTGCCTTCTTCCCCTGATGGGTTTATGCCTCAGAAGTGCAAGGAAACTTGCACCTGCGTTGTCCACTTAGTTTCGTGAGGTCCCCGGTTGTCTCAGCATTGCCTTTTGGGACTCTCGATGGGTTTACAGCCTGATGGTTCCTACCAACACACCTCCAGCTCCCTGCATTCACCTCCTTCTGCCTATTATTGGGACGAACCTCCTGCAGTTCTCCACCTGACCTTTCCTTCCCCTTTCTCCACTACTGTGCCTTCCTCTTTGCCACCTCTTCCTCATGACTCCCTTGAGATTTAAGCTGTCCCCTTCAATTCATCCTGTACATGATGAAACTATCCTGTTTCTTTTCTACTAGGCCTCTTTTTTTCCCTCCTTTCTTGACCTTTCCTTATGAGCTCTATCAACAGCAAACTAACGACACCAGAGGTTACTTGCTCTCAAAAACAAAAGAAAGTTCTTCCTGCTGGTTCTCTGCACCAAACCAGACTTCCTCTGTTTGGGAAGGGGGACAGCATGAGGGAGGATCTGTAGCCAGCAGTACTGCAGCCTCCCTTCATGTCCCAGCAGTAGCACACAAAATGACCCAACTGTGTAACATTCTTTGATGCTGAGCCTGTGAGCTCACTGCCAGCTGTAAAGGGAAGAGAGCTGCCTTGGAGTTGCTGCTTGCCCTGCTGCAGTCTCTCCCATCCCTCCTCCCCCTTTCAGCTGGCAGAAAGTTGGAGATGGCAGAGATGCATTTTCTTTTCCATTTGGGGATGGAACAGATTCCCCTCCCCCCTCCTGTTATCCCTGCTGCAATTACACCCTTGGTAATGGCTGATGCGCAGTTTGGTTTTGCCACTGGCAGAACGGTTGGTCACATTGTATGGCGTGTCATTATTTCTCTCTGATCACAACTTATAAAAAATTGCCAAACCATGGGTAAGTTGGGTGGCATTCCAGGGCACAGGCTGGAAGACTGTGCCAAGTGCCAGGTTTCAGCTCTATAAAGAACTGAAAGTGAAAACAGAAAGAGCATTGCTGTGAGGTGTAAATAAAAAAAGGCTGTGTATGGTTATTTGACTGCTGAAATAACACTGTGCTGACTGGTGTTCTCTCAGGTAATGTTATGACATGTAGTTATAAATAGATAAACCAGCTAAGAGCAAGGCACCTTCAGGTCACCTGGTGCCTCGCATCTCTATGCTGAGCTAGACATGCTGTCTTTGCTACAAGTCCCAGAGGAAGTGCAAGTCTCAAGGTACCTCTTTCCTGAAATCCACCAAATAATTTGGTAATTACACTTAACTTGTTTCTGTTCCTCCCCTCCCCCTGGCTCTCTATAATTTGGGTGTTTACTTGCAAACCTGGGAATGGAATTCCTTAAAAAAGAAATAATTAAAAGAAACTGTACTGGTGTATCGAGATATATAAATGAAAAATGTTGTAAGTAGTGCAAGTGTGTGTTTTCATTAATCCATCTGGCAGTGAGTAGTAAAAAAAAATAAAATTGCTTAGCAACCAGTATTGAGTGAGAGAGCCAAAAAGCAAGTGAAACATGCCGCTGATACCCGCTTCATTTCTGAGCTGTTGGGTTTACTCTTCTGTTTGCTCAGAAAGCACAAACCAAGCTTCCTGGGTATGAGAACTCTCTAGTCTGAGGACAAAGCCACTAGAAAATGTGTTTGGCCACTTTTGCTCATACTTGATCATGCCGTGCAGCTCGGGCTTTCCTTTTGAAACTTACTTTGTTTGTCAGGTGCAGTGTTCTTGCCCTTATTTTTATGGCTCTGTGTATGGGGAGGGGTGCGAAGCACCCTGTTTCCAAGCCGACCGGGTTTCCATGTGCAGTCTCGTGGCTGGTGTCCCTGCCCTGTGCCACAGAGGGTCCGGGTCGCCCTCGGTGTCGCGGTGCCCTGGGCGGAGGGGCCCGACCTCCTGCGCGGGGCGCTGTCCGCCGCCCCCGGTGCTGAAGCCGCGCCGCCGGGGGTGGAGAGCGCCTGTCCCGCCTTGCCTCCTTCTCCCTGTCTGTCCGTGGGCTGGCAGCGCATGTGTGTGCGCAGGGGTGTGTGTATCTCTTTGCCTGGGCAGGGGGAAGGTGGTAGGAAGGAAGTAAAGCTGTTTCTTCAGCCCACGGATGCAGTTGAAACTGAAGTGATGCTCGGGGCTCAGGAAGGAACCTCTTCCTTGCGTGCTCGTTGCTTGCTTTCCATTTAGTGCATTCCATATCTGCACTTGCTATTCAACCACTGCTTACAGAGCTATTTTTCCTACAGCTGTTACAAGTCAAGCTGCATTTCCCAGTCACTGTCTTCTGTCAGGACACGGTCAAAGTTCGGCTGCAGCATGCAGGATCTGCTTTGCAGCATTGGAACTTCAAATCCACTTTTATTAAAGAACCATAACCAGATACAGTGAATACTGCTCTTCTCCACCCTTAATTGCAACCATTAGTTAAGAACTATCAGGTTTTTATCTACTTCAGCTGTGAGTTATAATTATACCATTACTGCTGTTATCTGTATTGTTGAACAACTGAGATTGCAAACACAGAGTCAATTATACAGTTTGGTTGTACCATGTATTTGGTCTGGGTCTTTAAAAAACACAATTTGCAAATGATTAACAGTGCAGCTTCTATCTCCCCTTGTCTTTCGATTATATTAACAGCTTTGCGTAGTTTGATTTTCCAAAACATACCAGTTTATTATGTTTGTTTCTAAATATTGATCAATTAACTCACAATTATTACCTAGCATGAGTTGACAAATGCTGTTCGATTAGTTGTGCCTGGTATGGTTTCTTGTCTGGTGTTCCCAAACTGATTAAAATACCCCGTTGTTTTCCAAACCCAGGGTTATTCTCTCTATTATTATGCATATGCAAATCCTATTAATCTAAGTTATGTGCTCATATCAAGAGGATAATACTTCCCAAAGGATTAAAATTACCTCTTCTGCCAAAATTAGCGTAGCTACATAATATTGTAAAGCTATAGGCAGCTATAAATTCTTTTTCCATATTTGATACTAAATCAGTTCCTTACAGAAATTAATTTTTTATTTTCTCAACAACTTCCTCCAGTGCAACACTAGAGGAATGTGGAATGTGCTCTCACTTTTGGGTGGTGGTCTTTTGTTTTCTTTATTATGATCAGCAATCTGGCATGTCTCCATCTCTTAACATCCATCTTTGGCTTTTCATACACATCTTCTTAAACGCAGTTTTCAGATTGTCTTTCTGACTTTCTGATGCAGGCATGTAAAGGCTAATCCCAAATTACTTCTGAAAACTTGTTCATCTGTGACAATAGCATAATCACTTTCCTGGTCCTGTGCCAGCTGATCAGTTCAAGTGGTTTTTATCAGTTTTGACCTATTACAGATTTTGGCTGATTTATATTCTTCCTGTTGCAAAATACTGTACTTTTTAAATAGCAATGCATGGTAGGTAGCTTTCAAGCTTGATAAATTGGCAGAGGTAATGACTGATAAGGAAATATATTGCTTAAAAGTCACTATGTGATCCAAGCTGTATGAGCTTTTCTCCTCCTTCCCCCTTCACAAAGCTGCTTGGGGAATCCCTGTAAGAATTTTATTGGTGTTTGTTAGGGAAAGGGGGGATTACTGCACTGAATTGATCTGGTCAGGTTCTTTTAGCCTTTCAAGTGTTAGTTGTTATTGAAGCTGTTTCTATATACAGGTACTCTTACTTGTCCAAAAAAGAGTAAGTTTGGTACTGCAATCCTCTGCAAAGCTGATTCTAACAGACTGACTTCTTGTTAAGTGGTGCAAGAATCTGTCCTTGTTTCAGCTCCTCAGTCTTTCAGGGAAGTCACCAAATGTTGGCTTTTCTTTGAGCAAGGCTGATTGTCTACTTATTTTACCTGGGAATAGAAACTCAGGGAGGAAGCAAGCCAATACCTTGGAGAAGGTGTCTGGCCAGAATGACTAGAGTAGCTGTACTAGGGGTCAGCAAAGATTGAGAAAGAATTAGCTTCCATGCTGTGAAATGGGGAGAGGGGAGATTTTGAATGTGAATGTATTCCTCCCACTCTGATTTCAAAGTGTGTACCAGCGGTGCAACCAAACAGAAGCCAGAGGAGCAGCAGGAGGAGTGCAGAGCTGGCCTCTGAAGAGAGAGGAGAGAAAGGGGAAAGAGGTGGTGATGGGCAGATCTCAATTAGAGATGGTGCAGCCTGTGCAAGCTATGGAGCTCAGCTGGCTCACTCAGCCCTGGAGTGTAGCACAGATTTTTAGTGCACTGAAGTGACTCAGTAATCTCACTGAAGTAGCTGGATCCTCAAGTGATTTAAGTCATTTGTTGACTTCAGCCAGGGATCTCAGCCAGACTGTAGAAATACACATCTCTGCTCCCCTTCAGTGATGAAAGATCTGTTTTATCTCTTTGTGGTGTGGAGCCACATGTTGTCTTGGAATGTGTTCTGGGAAAGCAAAGCTGAGAGGGAAAGGGCTTAGTGGCTGTGAATAATTTTGCCATGGGTACAGAAGAAGGGTTCTCGTGTCTAGAAAGGCAAGTGAATTTGGTGCCATTTACTGTTCTTAAGCAGTGACGAATAAATCACACTGGGGAGAGGAAAAAAATCTACGTCAACCTGTGTTAGT